AATCTCACCATTTTGGGGGCCAAACAATCTCCTTTTTCAAAAGATACCGTGGGGGCACTTCTAATGCTAATGAGCTGGTCAAAAATTCTCACTTGAATTAGTGGTCTGCACCCATGTACGTTCCCGTCGTTCGGGCGGCTGACCCGAGAACGACAATCAAGCTGTTCGTGAACATACGAGAGCAAGTGAGTGTGTATAGAGGGCCTACGTGGAGCGCCCTCTCAGAGGACATGTCTTTTTTTTATGTGGATTTAATGACAATGAATGCACAAAAGGTTTACTCGAGCCTATTCTAGAGGAAGAATGAATGAGTGCTTCATTTGAAACGAAGGAAGTCGAACTTGACTTATTATTACTATAATTATTATCAAATTCTGACAATGTCAGGGGTTGTGGAAAGGACTGTACAGTACATCTTAAACCACGCCCCGGTTAAAATACAAATACACAAAATGTAAGATTAAAAATTAAATGAAATTCAACAATTATCAAGAATAAAAAATGAGATAAAATATAAGGTTAAAACAGAAAACAAACAAAAACACTGAAACTGTAAAAATGAGCTCCAATCAAAATAAGATATTAAAAAGTAAAATTCACCAAGAGCCAATAACGTAAAATAAAGAAAACAAGTCATTAAAAATACAAACCAATACATGACATTAAGATCACGGACATTAAAAACAGTAAGCTTAAACTTAAAAGTGGGAATTACATTAAAACAACGCTGAAATTGAAAATAAGAACAGGTAAAAAACCCAACAAACACAAGAGTTAACTGGTCAAAAAATCATAAAGGGGGTTCTTAAACACGTTCAGTGACATACTTTCAACAAATTGTTCGAGTAGGCTATTCCACTCATTTGCTTTCAACAAATTGTTCGAGTAGGCTATTCCACTCATTTGCTATGTGAACAAAATAGGAATATTTAAAACAGTCAGTTTGGGCGAAAGGAATATCGAGTTTGAACCTGTTATCATTTCGTCCAATTCTCGAGGCTGACTGAATTTTTTAAGTGCCTCAATATTAAGGAACCCCTTCAACACCTTAAAACACATCACCAAAGGCAAGGACTTTCTTCTGGTTTTAAGGTCAGTCCAGCCAAGATAATCCTATAATGTGTCAAAGCTACTATGCCAATCTCTACAGGTAAATCCGACATTCGATTTTTGGACACGTTCTAAAACAGCTGAGTGGTTAAGTCTGTAAGGGTCCCAGGCTATACAACAGGAATCTAATCGAGATCGAATGAGCGAAATGTAAAGTTTCTTCAATATGTTAGTTGGGTAATTTACGAAATTACGTTTAATAAGCCCCAGTGTTTTAATGGACCTGGGGTATATCTTGACAGTGATCATTCCAGTTTAATTTATCATTAATTTTAATCATCACTCCCAAATATCTTTCACAATTTGCAAACGTTAATGCGTTATTTCTAATATAATACAAATGTTGACAAGGATGGCGTTTTCTCGACTTTACACTTGTCGACGTTGAAATCCAATTTCCACCGATCTGACCATTTGCACTGTGAATTTAAGTCGGATTGCAGGGTGCCAGCGTCTTCATCTGTAATAACTGGTCGATATAAAACACAATTATCTACATATAACCGAATAGTGGATGGAATATTCTCGGAGATATCATTAATAAAACAGAAATAAAACTGGACCAAGAATGGTACCCTGAGGAACACCAGATTTCACCCTGGACCAAGATGAGAAGCGACCATTAACATGCACTCTTGGCTGTCTATCTCGGATAAAATTCATAATCCACTTGACGTTTGAGCCTTTAATACCATAAGTGATAAGTTTTTTGTACAGAGGGTCATAAGTCATCTGTCAAAGGCTTTAGCAAAGTCCAGGAAGACAATATCAACACTGTACCCTACTGCTCCAATCATCAATGGCATCTATTAATTATCACAGGAACGTTTGGCTCTAAAACCTTGTTGATTTTCATCAAGAATTTTTTTATTATTATTATTAAGATGGTTGATAGGCCTGTTGCAAATAATTCTTTCTAGGGTTTTACTCAAGACAGATGTGAGTGAGATGGGACTGTAATTATTAGGATCATCCGGTCGCCTTTCTTAAAACACGGGGACCACATGGGCTCTTCGCCATTCATCAGGAATAGCACCTGTTTCTAAAGAGATATAGAATAGTTTACAGAGTGAAGGTGCTAGGTACTCCGCTCCCTCCTTCAGAATCCTGGGAGAGATATTGTCAGGACCTTGACATTTACTTACATCAATATCCTTAAGTAATTTACAAAACTGCAAAGAGTTACTTTAAACTCCTTTAAAAGCTCAACTCCCGAAAAACTACATGACGGCGATATCGGTAAAAATGTCGAGGGGTTGGATTCCACCCCCGACTCCCCTTGTAGGGTTTTATAGTCAGATAGTACTAGTCTTGTTAGTGACCAGACTGAGGAACCATGAGGAAAAATCTATTTTGAGGCAGGATCAGTCTTTCGATGGAAATCTACAGCCATTTATACCAACGCATAGCAGTATCTCTCTAAGGCAGTGCCGGAAACATTTACATTCCTTACTCGCACTGGATGATTCGAATGACATGTTTTTGTTATCAAAAAGACGCGGAAACAAAGTAGCTTTATGTCGTTACAATGATTGTACACATAACTTGCATACTGCTGATGCAAGAGCGGGCACGCCCACCTTGTGAAGAATCAACGCACAGCAAGGCAGCGCCGGATTCAGTCGCACTAGCTGACGGTGAATTTCTTGTTATGTTGCAAGCTTGTAATGTCTCCTCTCACATCGCTTAGATGTTTGCTGCAACTACAGTTCTTGGAGTCAAGGTTTCTTTGTGCCAATGTTTGAGTCCAGTCCGCCTTGCAGTTTGGCAGGGACACTTGCTAAGGTAAGTTTGGCTTGGAACTCGAAGGTTGGCAGATAATGATGAAACCAGCAAAGTAGATTATAACAAGCAACACGAACAGCCCGTGACAGAAACGATAACGCTTATCACAGGCGCTGTCAACAGTATCACTGGTGTGCTTGTTAGTATATCCGTCTCATATTCACCAAATAGTCTATTCACAATCAAGAAATGTAAGTTGTAAAAATTTGAAATTGCAGGTGGAACCAAGGCGGATCCTGACCCAATTTTCGGGGGGGGGGGCAAAACAAGTTAGCAGCGTCCCCGATGCACTTTTGCATTTAATAATCAATCGCAACAGTTACAAATAAGCGGCTGCTCAGAAACAATTTTCTGAACAAAATGGCTGAGTCCGTACAAAACAAACTCCACTGAAGACATGATATCTTCACTCTGATTTTTAAAAATCTTTTTTAGGGGAAGAGGCATGGCCCCCGTTGCTCTTCATGTAATCGAAGAGTACTTGGACAAATGAATTTTTTTGCAAGATTTGGGTCTGAAACTTCTAACTTCTAGTGTTTGGCAATGTGCATAATCAAAGCGAAAACAAATCTCTTCTTTGATACTTTGCATTATGGAAGAACGGAGTGCCTGGCTTTTGGGATCCACTGGCCCCAGATGCCATAATAAGGTTTACGTGTACATAATGTGTACAGATACATGATTTGTATGAAAACTCGGGAATTTTATTTTTTTACCAATCCCTTCAGTCTCGTACAAAATGTTATTTAAATATTCATCTTTTTTCCCATGCAGACTGGGAACTCTTCAAAAAACGAAAGGCTCTAACCAGCTGTGATGATGTCTTCTGGCAACCTGAAGATCAAGGGTTTTATCCTTGCACTGTGCATGGCATCCTTTATTCTGGACCGTTTTCTCATTCCATCCCAACTAGTTGAAATGAAGGGAGTTGGGAACGGGATGGTTGTGCCCCCTGTCAGTCGCTTGAAACCAGAGAAGGTAACAGGGTCACATTTCCCCTATGAAAGCAAAATCAGCTCTGACCTCTTGATTCCTGCGTTGTATCGAGTCCCGTATAAGGACATCCGTTATAAGGATGGGAAGCTGGTGATTGGTGACAAGAAGGTTACAGACGGTAGATGGCCAATCCTGGCCAATCCTAATGATCAGCGATACTTGGCAAAAGTTAATGACTCACAAGCAGCCCAGATGTTGGGAATGGTGGTCAAGTTAATTCCTCCTGATATTATGTCATCCGTGGCGCACCAAAAGGGCCTGAAATACGACAAACGGAAGAGTACAGTGACATGGCCAAGTCGGGTTGCAGTCCAGACAAAATGGGACGTTCTCATAAGCGGCATGCAACATCTTGGCTACGAACAACGCCTGCCAACTATAATCTGCCTCGGTGTCAAAAAGAGCGGCACCACGGCTTTTCTTCACGACTTGGCACGACATCCGCAAATTGTGCGCACCATATGGGACGAGGTGCATTACTTCAGCCTCAACTACGACAAAGGCATCGGCTATTACCGGTCCAGGATGGGGTTTTCCACCATCTCGCAGGCTCAGCTGGAAAAATCGCCGTCATATTTCGTCACCAAGGAAGTACCGGGACGGATACTGAAGGACCTGCCGACCGATGTTAAATTTGTGCTGTGCGTCCGAGATCCGGTGGAGCGGATCATATCAGACTTCAGACACGAGTACGAGCTGAAGCTACACCGTGGTCGAGCAGTGGTCGACATGATAAGAGCGAGTAGAGAAACTCCTGCCTCACAAGCGATGCACTTTGTGGAAACGATCTTCAACAGCACTGGAGATGTAGATCCGTCCACGGGGTTTGTTGATGAGAGCACTTACTCCAAGCACATGAAGAACTGGTTGAAGAGCTTCCCGAGAGATCGATTCTACGTTTTGAGCCACGAGCGCGTAAATGAAGACTTGTTCGGCGAGCTGAAGAACATCGAGGAGTTTCTGGGTCTGGAGCCGTTTTACGAGAGAAGCATGTTCTATTACGATGAAGAGAGAAAGGCGCCTTGTATGTCCGCTGGTTGCCCGCCCAAAAGCACCCCAGGATTTCTCCCTAAAGCAGACCTCAGTCAGGACATCATTCAAAAACTGAGGGAATACTTTCGGCCACTTAATCAGGAATTTGAGGAGCTTACACAGATGAATTTTTCTTGGACGAATCTCTAAGCGGATGGATCACACTTATGGAAAATCGATAAAATTTTCGAGAACTGGCCGGAATAAAACCAAACAATTGTATTTTGTTTTAAAAGAAACATTTCAAAATGACTTTATATTTGGACTTTGCAAGTTGACATAAATGAACTCCTTGGTAAGGTTGGAGATATATAAAATAATTATCAAAAGGTTTATCATCTTTCTCTATTTTGCATGATTTTTTCATTGATCAACTATAACGTTACTGCAAACACTTGCAGACATGAAATTCTGATTTAGAAGTCATCTCTTATGGAAAACTCTGCCATGATGGATACAGTTTATCCGAACACTTTCAGACGTAACCTCCATGGTTTATGGCACCGTCAAAAGAAATATTTGTTATTAACTTTATATCTCCATGAAAGAAGACCGTTGTTTCAATTGAAATTTAATTTTAATGTAAGTATTTTTTAATTATTTTTATATCTTAAATATTCAATTATATTTGTTTTTAAAATCGGTTTGGTTTACTAAAGAAATGGTACAAAAGGTACCAAATATACTAGAAGATCTTTACAACTGTGGAAACAAACTTGAATGGATACAAGCTGATACTACGTTTATAAAGGAAAGTGAAAGTCACGTTATACTTTTTAATGTACATCGCTTCGTCAGGCCCTTCATTACAGCTAAAATACAGGGCAAGTTCACTAAATGACCGTTCTGTATGAGATGAAATGCGTCAGCAGATTAGAAGCGTTGAGCCCCCATGTAAAATGTCTCTGTAGCATTTGCACTGTGATCTTGAATGGTGCTGTCAACATTACATGCCACTTTTCATCTTTAAAAAATCGCTAGTATTAGTGATTTGAATAGGTCATGGAACTTAACAAATAGAGGACCTTGGCAATCTTTCTGATGGACTTGCTGTTACTGTGTTTTAACTCTGTAACAAGAGTTTATTTCATAAAATAATCAACACTTTCTACACCATCAATACGTTTCTTACTGGACACTGTCAAAAGCTATCCACCTATAAATGATTGCTCTTTACTTAAAAGATCCTTAAAATCTTTATTAACTTAAAACCCAATCGCCATCCAACACAGCTGAGTTGATGTCTTCAGTCATCGGTCTGCACTGCCACGTTACTGTACGCTGTATTTATTTCCATGACAACAGTTTCTTTGTCATTTTCCATCGTCTCGTCGAAGATGCTTTCTTCACTGGAGTAGCTGGGGAGACGGCAGTTTGGAAGTTTAAACATCTCACGAAGGCTCATGTTCCTAAACAGAGGGAAATGATTAGATACTTGGTGCAGTCCCATAATGCCTTTTCCCCGAGCGTTACAAAATGTGAAAAACTTAAACGAGATTAATATTCCAGTTAAAAAAAAACAGCAGTTACTGTTTGAAAAATACTTTGATAGAGTGCAATGTTAATCCGGTTTGTACGCGGCGAGACAGTAACTCGCCTCGGCGAGATAGTAACTCGAAAAAAACTTTTGCTAGTGGCCCTTATACGCTTCCGTAGGTTTGTGTGTCGTCACTTCAATTTTAACCATGCCCACTGCATATATTACATGGAACCATGTTGAATTTGTAATCATACGCATGTTTGACGAAGTCACGATCTGGGTTACAAAGATCCATCGTGCGACCATAAATATTGTTTCTAATACCTTACCCAGCCCAGCCCACCCCCACCAAACTCGCCATTGATTAGCCTCATTATCAGCCGTCTTACTTGCCGAAGTCTTCTCCCTCCTGCATAGTCTCCGGCAGTTTAACCCCCATGGTGTCGGGGAGGACAAGCATCAGGATGCCAGACACCAGGGTGAAAGATCCAAATATCAGAAAAGGGAACTCCGGGAAGGTGTAGTCGGCCAGCAAGAGGATGTAAGGGGAGGAAATGGAGCCAATCCGTGATAACATCGCACCCCCTCCGACACCTGCATTTCTGATCCGCAGCAAGTTGCAAATAAAGACAGTGAAAAAAAAGCTAACGAACAAGCAACTCAACTGCGGAAGGGGGACGTATCCGCAAAGGAGTGACCCTGCCCCAGTCGACCCCATTGGAAATAATGAACACAACTGACACGTAAGCCACAATAAAATCGCTTCCAGCACCCTTAAAATAAAAAAATATGCGTACCCCGGATGCCCCCCACTCCTCTCATTCCTTACTCCTCGAATATTCTGGTTTAAAAAAAAATTATTTTGACGTACAACTGTACAAATTACCTCAAGTTAAATGCTTTGCCTACAACATTGCAGGATTTACATATGCGGAGAAATCAACTTTATTTTCGACCTGTTCTTTTATCAAGCTATTTTAGGAACCAGTTTACGAGAGAATCCTGTATAAATGATGAAAAGAGACAGGCGCCTCGTGTGTCTATCGATTGCCCGCCCCCAAAACACCAAGTAGTTCTCCCTAAACCAGAGATACTAACACATTTTAGAAACCTATCTTCATAAATATTCGGCAAACAAGTTTCATTTGTTCTGACAGTGTTATGGGAATAATTCTGGAAATGTTAAGTGCGGCTTATTAGTGTTAGTTATACCAGTTGTTTTGACGGGTGTCTTCGTTTTCTGGACTAATCATCAAAATTGCACTGGATTGTATCCTGTAAAACTACTAAGTCTAAGATATTAAAAAAAAATAGTTACTTCTGTTAAAACGAGGAGTATCTAATGCACATGTATATCGCTTACAAGAATATTGGATTTTGAGAATATTGGATTTTATTCACCCGTGTCTGCGTTTACCTTACTGGCGTAGGGAAAATCTCAATTGCGTATAGATAGACAATGGCATAGGAACCTGAGATACACAGCTTGCCTATCATGGCAATCGCCAAGGTCAGTGTTCCCAAATCTGAAAAATATAGAAAACAAAAACAAAAAACTGATGAAAATTAACCAAACTTGGCAGAATCTTGAGTCATTACGATATTAGATGTCTATAAACTTTAAGGGACGTTACCATTTCTTGGTCATGTTCCGTTACTCCTATAACCTTCATTCTTAAATGATCGATATCCTATATTTCAAAATGTGGAGAAATAATAGTTTTGTTCATAAATGTCCAACGGTGATGGGGGAAAATTGCTCCCTCGGGAGCATGTTGCAAATTTGAATTATTATCATAATTATTACTGGAATTGTTGTTCTCTTTGTTGTTGGCAACAACCCTTTTAAATCGATTCTGTGTCACACTGTTGTGGGGGAGAGGATACTTTCACATGTAAAAAAGGGGGATATCATTTTTAGTTTAAAGAATAAATTTTATTTGCCCCATCCTCGAAAGATCCATACGCCATTATGAGAGATTAACGCTCTTCCCTTATAGCTTACCCTGTCAAATGTCAGATGTTTGTCCTTTTTTTAATTAAGTGAAGTTTTAGTGACAAGCCCTAAATGTTACGTCAACTAGAAGTAGGCACCTCGTCAGTTGTACGCTGCGAGTGGTGCTGCTCATTTACGTAGAAAAGTTTTAAAGTTTACTATCTAAGGCTCCATGAAGGTAAGTAGCACGCAAGAATGAGACAGGCATTACCATTTAACTTAAAAGTATTCTTGACTGCTCCTAATTTCAAAATACCAAATATGAACTCGAACCTTTGGGTACTGCCAAGGTGCTCAAGAGGGAAACGCCCCCAACAGTCATGAATATGCAAATGAGCCACTTGCGACCAATTCTACCCAACAGCAATTGGCACAGGATGTAGGCGGGTATTTCGACGAGTCCAGCGAGGAAGAAAGAGAGGTAGGGATCGCTACCCAAGTCCTCGGTGAAGTAGGTCAAGCCAAAGTACACCATGTTGTTGCTCAACCTTAAATCATGCATAAAACATTGGAAGGAAAAGGGTTGTCATCAGTTGCAGTGAAATAATAGCTACGGATATGTGGTCGAGGCGTTATCTGTCTCGTAAATGACACGGTAGTAGAATTTCAAATGTTTTCAGAAATTGTTCAACGAGAAGAAACTAATTTTGAGCAAATCATCCACGAAACGCTAAATTTACAGGACCATCGGCATAGATTTGGGAAATTAAGACAGGCAATTACACAGTTTAACAAAATTTTGGGGGGAAAAGGCATAATATAGTAGAAAAGCGAAAGAAACGAAACAGGAGGAAGGGTATAAAATCAGCCATTTGCCTGAAGGTACCTCTGACTATTGACCCCCTTGATACTATTAATGGTTTGTTACTGATTACTACTGTGCCCCTCCCTAGGGAAAAAATCCTGTGAGCTCCATGGTCACAGACGTCTATATTCGGACACATGACCTGCAAATCATGCCTGTCGTTGTTTACGTCACAGACAAGGACCATTAAATTCAGAATTACGGCTATTGACATGGATTACATGTACAACCTGTGACACTCACCAAACGAAGTAAACGATGAATGCCTTTCTCCTCAGGTTAGGATACCTCATCAAATCAATAAAGGTCTTCGTCTCCTCGGAATGTCGGTTTTCCTGCAGTTGCGACAAACATGGCAATCTTTTTCCCAATATTCATGAATAATTTTTAACTTTTGGTAAGCCATGTGTTCAAGTTACTCTTTCTCTAAAGACTTTTTTGGTTTGAAATAAAAGTTGAATTGTGGTTCACAGCCTCAGTAACGTGTGCCGTCTGAAAAGTGCAATGAACCAAGGTGTCGTAATTTCTCCCACGGACGCGCAGTGCGCACGTTAAAGATTGGCTATAGCCGGATACAGTGCGCATTACGTTAACGTTAATACTTGTCAAGTTGTACCTGTTCTGGGTCCTTTTTGTCCTCAAAGACGCTGTTTGGTAGGTCGACTTTGTTCACCTTCGCTGCCTTTCTTACGATCTTCTCCGCCTCTGCCATCTTGCCTCTTGAAATCAACCATCTGGGAGACTCGGGCACGATGCTGGCAAGAAATTAAGACAGTTTTTAATATGGGCTCTCTCAAGTTTACATACTGGGCAAGTGAATGGAGAGCCGTCGAAGACATTAATATATAGACAGCTACAAGTAGCCCATGTTTTTGCTGTCCATAAAATTCTTCATTCAATTGATTATGTCGACACAATTTTATCACAACATGAATTATAGTCACAAGAAATATGGCATTCAATCAGACTGCAGGTATATGATTGGAACTCACAAGTAATAGGCGAGGAATATGATGGGCGGGATGGAAATGGCCAATTCAATCTTTCGCCAATCTCCGTCCAGGCACCACGCTATCAGGGCCATCGACAGGTAGCCGATGGTGTAGAAGTACTCGAAGACAATGCCAGCCGTCACGCGAAAACTCTTGCCTACCATTTCATTAGCTAGTGGCAAAAATGGGGCAGTAAAGTATTTTTTCATGAAGTCCAGCCATGGGGGATCTTTTTTTTCCTTCAAATATTGTTATCGTATACTGCAGTTTCCATCATCCATTTATTTCTTTGGCGCGATATTTGTCAGGCTGTACTCACCTATTACTATGGCAACCACAAAGGTTGCAGTTGAAACAACACCGATTATGAATTGCAGGACTAAGAACAAAATGAGGCTGTTCGCAAATGCTGATCCCGTCCCACAGGCAACCTGTCGTCATACGATGGAAACTCAAATCAACTATCAAGGGCCTCACCAACACATCATATCACAAAGTGGGTGGGGTGCGTGGTTTCAAATAAAAGGGATTTGCACACTCCAAAAGCTGCCTGGTAAGATTGACCTGGAATCTGAAAGGGTTTGTTCTATCCTTTTCTGGCATGGAGAACACATTTTGGATCGAAATGACATTTAGGCTTATTCAGACCCGAGAAGTGTTCTTTTGACTGGAAAAGGTACAGTACATTCTGATTTAGATTCTGGATCATTCTAACCCAGAAACAGTTTGAGTGTGTAAAGGGTAAGGATTCGAACTTTTTGCCATATATTTGACAGTTATGACATACAAAAATGACTTTTTTCTAGACACCCCAGAGGCAACAAGAACGAAAGGTGAGGCCCCAAATTTTAACCTCAATGCATTTTTACTTCCCATTAACAGCATTTGCCCCTGACCCACACATCATAAAACTTTGGTTCTAGAACTGGCCTTGATATTGAAAAAGAGTTGTGTTCGACGAGAGCGTAGGCTATTTTTAGTGTATAAAGGGTAAGGAATTCTACCATATGGAACGTTATATTTCAGATAATCGCAAATCGGCGACTTTCTGAGCATCCCCAAATCCTTTTTAAAGAGCAATGGATGATTTGGGGGACTGTTTCGTTTCCCTTTCTTCCCAAAACATGTAAAAAAAAACTCCACTATTGGCTTCGCTTCTCAACTACTCTGTCCCCAGCATTACTTTGCTCCCCCGCCAAACTTTGCTTCTGGATTCCCCCTTGATTTTCGTGCGCTCGACGAAAGGGCAGACCTACCATTAGCAAAATAGCCAGTGTGAACGACTTCTTCCTTCCAAAGGTATCTGCGAGTTGCCCAAAAAGTAAGGATCCAAACAACTTGCCCACCAGAACCAGGGTTTTGGACAGCTGACGCAAGGCATTGTCTTCACACACTAGGTCCCACTGTGAGGAAGATACCAAAAAAAAATACATGTACCTGGTCTTTGGAGATGCTTATTAAACACAAAGACAACATGAAAAGGGAAGCTTTTGAATAAAAAAACTATCGGCCCAGGTTTTAGGGAATTATATGCATTCGGTCTATTTCTGTTTGTTTAAGATGAATGGGGCGTTGCATAAATTCAACAATTGTTCAAGATCTGGTCCTTGGTCAAGACAATGGGAGCTGGCCCGTCTGTCGCCTTCAGCTTGTTTCCTTGACTAAATCCTCGCAATATGCCCTGACCAAACCCAATTCAAAAAGGGACGGCAGACTTCTCAAACTTCTAAAAATACTAACGGCACAAACAACAATGTAATAAGGTTTATTAAACGAAATGTGGGAACCCTCCTCGGATCAATGCTTGTTAGCAAGCTTCACCTATTAAATATTTCCTTGACTTTGAACCTCTTCTACAATGTAACAAAACTTTGTTCAATCTATGATAGACTTCTTGACTTTTGGACTTCAAGGTTTACTAAAGTTTAAAGTGTTTGTAAAGTTCAAATTCAATATTTTCAAATTGTAAACGTGAATTAATTTAAACTTTCATTGTATAATTCATTATTACAAATTAATAAAATACGTTATTTTACATCCAGAGTGATGAAAGTCTGAACGCTAAGAGTCTAAATCTTAGACTCAAACCCTTCGGTCCCTACCTCAGTTACAACTGTACTCCTGTAGATGCCATCATCATACACCCATCCCATTTGACACGGAATAGATTGCCACAAATAAGTGGAGTTGCATTCGCCATTGTTGTCGTCGTGGGTGGCAGAGGTATTGTACATGTTACAGCTGTCCCATTGGCCATCTTTGAGCTTTGGTATCTCGCAGCTGCGCACGGTGTCGTACGCCTCCGAGGCATTGTAGACGTAGCCCTGGTAGAGGCGACACTGGTGGGCTGGCTTAGCGCTCAGGAAAGTGTTACCGGTGCTATGCCAAGCCACAGGAACAGCCATGAGACACAAAGAGAAGTAGACCACTCGTTGGTACACGCCAAAATCACCCAGGTACTTCAAAGCTTTGTCAAACTGCATGATAGGGGTATTTTCACGTGGTTTGGGTGAATTTTAATGCAAATTCAGCCAAAAGAAGAGAGATATAGAAGAAAATGGGATCTCGCGTAACACTTTTATATACCGATGAACATCCAAATAAATGAATACATGCAAATCGTCTCTCTTATCTCAGTCAAGTGCTCACTTATCTCGAAAAAAAAATCGCTAAATTGCCTTCTTCGGCAGAGCACACAGACTTTATGCCCTCAGTCCGAGGACTCAAGCCTGGACACTTAGTAATGAGTAAGCACTACTGATCATTTTAGCATGATTGATCAGAAGACGGATTGGTATTACTCCGAGTTAAAAAGATCATAAACTGCAGTCCATGGCCAAAACCAGGATAAGGCCAGACTACATGTATCTGCCAAAATCTGTGTTCAGTTGATTGCTGAAACCATAAGATAGATCCTGTAAACATACGTATAATGCAGGCATACAATCCGGTTGACCTTATTAAAAAAAACTACCACATTCGATCTCTAGCTACAGATGATATCTTGAAATTTACAAATAACAAATAAATAATCCCTGATCTTCCACAAGCAGGAATACCAGAATGAAAATGTTTATCGTGTTCTCAAAAGGTTGATTACATTTGGAGTTCAAATATAACTTGGAAATGTTATTTCCAGGTATATTTTACGTGTCATCACTCATCTGAAACTTTTCATGTAAATCACAGAACAATTGGTTTCATTTAACTCTAAAAGAGGCGGTTTATATTGAACCATTTCACAGCAGGGGGAAGCTCAAGAACCTGACTGCAGTATATCTGATTTTTAAAATTGTTACATGCACGTGAAAAATTCTGATCAGTACAAAAGTGAAGTTTAAACTCAATCTGACAGAATATTTTGTTGTCACAGTCATTTGAAGTTGGAGGCCCGCGTGAAAACACTCGTGCATTGAGTACGATGGTGAAAAGGTACACATTTTTGGCTGACCTGTCTCGCTGCGTCAGAACAGTAAGTTAATTTTTTACAAAATTGGTGTCAAAATGACAGCAAGGGGTTACTGAAAAAAAGAGAAACAGTTCGTGAAAAATCCGAGATGTGGCAATATCGAGAAAAATGTTGACGGGGACGGAGATTTTAGGTTAATCCTTCCGTGATGTGAGCAAATCGGATGAGTGAGTCATTAGGATTTTTTCCGAATGAGAGACAATGTCCGAAAGCTACAAGAATTGCTCAGTTTGGACTAGAATATAACTGCTGCTAAATTTAACAATGTCCAAGTTTATGGAGTATCAAATTAAAAAGCCTTCCCAATCTGTATAGTTTGATGTGTTAAACAACAGTGTCGGCCTGTACCGCGACTTTGCATTTCTGGTCTTCGAAATTACATTTGGGGATTTCGTAATTTAATCTGTGTAAATTTTCTGATGGGTGAAACAAAGTTTGACGTATCATTACTCGCACTTTTGGTAGAAAGACATAACGTGATTCTCTAAAATGGTCTTTCCCTCAATATAGTAATAGTAGTAAATAATCAAAACCACGGTTTATGGTCCGTTTGTCCCAACCCCCGCTGTGACGAAGGAGATCGGGAGTTCACTTCAACATGCTGTACTCGTTTGCAAAGCGCAAAGCGCAACACAATTAGGCCTTACAAATTTGTAAATAAGCTGCCATAGACAACAGTAATAAATCCCCCAATTCAAAACTCTGGCAAAAAAAAAAGTTTCTCAGGGGTTAAAATACTTATCACATTAAAGCTCATTTCCTCGGATTTCATTTTGCTTGCAATTTTCAGTGGTTTGTTCGATGACTTTCGAAGATATTTGAGACGATCACCCCTCAAAATAGTCATGAGGCCCGTTGCCATTTTGAAAATTGATACCTAACGCTCTACTACAAAATAGTGCTATTCGGGAGGCACCGTTTCGTCCAGTGCTTTCAGAAATACTAGCAGGCAGTCCTGCTTGTAGCCTCCATCTCTGTCGGTTGAAAAGAGCCGCGTTGGGCGGGAGTTTTCAATTTGTTGGTAGCGATGCGACCGTGACACGTGCATGTCATAGTCGTTCGTAAACTTGTGAAGTTCAAGGATCAGGAGCCTCCTTCGGTTGGTCCAGCTCGAGGCCCATGATCACAGCGGAGAACTTAAAAGCATGCAGTTTTGGACCTATTTGCTGTACTGGCCTAGCCTTTAAAGTTGCATTTTACCAAATCGTTGTATTTCTGCGCGCGAGCTCATTAATTTTTTTGTGATCACACGGGATTTTTACAATAAGACAGACCATAATCAGGAGGGATCATAGAATTATTTCAATAAATCCAGAATTTGGGACTTTTTCCAGTTCGGGGTATTTCTTTCACAAAAAGCCCCGAATTGCGGGCCTATTTTGGATAGAGGCGGACGGCTACATTCAGAAATGAGTGCTTAGTTTTATACTGTTTTGGGGATCTTCCTTGAAAGGCGAATAAAAAGATTTTCGTGGCTAACACCCATGTAATTGAAAAGAAAAGTGATTTTCTGGCCATAATCTTGAATTTCCAGTGAAAAAAACCTAGGCCGACCTCTTCAATTTCCGATTTTGCACGTGAAGGTAGTTCACTAATTCAAGCCCCATTGAAAACAATGTAAGTTCAGCACTGTTCAGGACTCAATAACATGCACGCCAACATCCCTGAGATTTCTAAAACACAGATGAAATTCTCTTCTGGTCACTTTACTTTCAATTTCTTTTTAATGTTTTGTGGGTTAACAAATTTCATTTTTAATTATTCCCACAAAACAAAATCACCCCCCCCCCAAAAGTGATTTTTCTGAAGTCTAATTGCAGCCATTTTTTAAGTGGCAACCCTCAACTTTCTCGGGCACTTAGGACCATTTTTCAATTGTAGTTTTTAGCCATTCTGCTCTCATATGAAAGCTCAATGACCCATGGGAGTTGATCCCAGCAACGATTTAAACAATCTCACCACTTTGGGGGCCAAACAATCTCCTTTTCCAAAAGATACTGTGGGGGGGGGGCACTTTCTAATGCTAATGAGTTGGCCAGAAATTCTCACTTGAATTAGTGGTCTGCACCCTGCAACCTTAACTTAAAGTGATGGCGCCCTCTATCAGAAGCGCCATATCGCAAAGGGAATCTAATCAAATTTTTTTCTCCTCTCCAGATCTATGAATAGATTATGATTGATGAGGCTTTCGCGTGTTGTCGGCAAGAAATGTCAGCAAATCTCCTAACTCGTAAGGAAATTCAGTCCTCTCGTCTTCCCCCAGGCATTGCTACACGTACTTAATATAAGCTAAGTCATTGTTGAAGCACAAAACCTCGCCTCGACAAGTTTTGTAAATTGTAGTGCGCATGGCGCATCATACGTACACATGACATGCTCTAAGTTCCATCATTCATAGATATAGATAGAGCAAGGAGCCTGATGATGTTGAAGGTCACAGTGCAAGTGTACGGCTAGGCCCTACGTGATTGTAACGGCCATGACGGCAGTAGTGACCAGCAGGCGGCTATCTTAGCATACAGAGTCAAGCCTTGGTGACTGTGAGGCATTCATTCATGTATTCAGCCTGAGGTGTGCACGGTGAGTAAAGGTAGTATAATTTTAGTCACCTCAGGCTAGGCCTAGGACATGTTAGCCCAGTAAACAGGGCACGACGGAGGAGTACACATTGGGCCCTGTTTACGACGGAGGAGTACATGTCGGACCCTGGGTACGGGTCTAAGCCTAACTAAGGACACGTAGGACACTACTAGTACTATACAGTGTAGGCTAGGCCTACTATCGATGTCAGACGACAGGCCCAAATAGTGCAATAGTCAGCGTGGTCAGTCATGCCAGTGTTGAATCAGATATGGACACTTTTTAAGCGTGCAATATAATTTACAGTAGCCTTATTCAACAAGTTCGTTTCAAATTGACAGTGTATTAATGTGTTTCAATTCTCGCGTTTGGACATCTTGACATTATTGAATAGCACGAAGGGTAAATTTGCTCCTTTGCTGTATGTCAAAAGTCCATAGTGATGTCGTGCCAACTGCGAGAATGTGGATTTTGTTTTTGTTTAGGCTATGAAGTAATGTTAACCGTAACACAACTTCCAAATTAAGGCATTGCGCAATTATCACTGCCAATTTATAAATATTCAATTTCCAAACAGCAGCATGGATTGTGATAGCACAGTTGGCACACCGATACCTGTTTTACATAGTAATTGTGAACATTCCTTTGTTCTCCTGTGGTTAAGGGGACCTGAGGAAAATGCTCCTTTTTCTCCAACTAGGATAACTCCTTCGAGCTGGAATTTTGATGATAAGTTCCTGGAGTGTTCCTTTTCATTTTGCCGGGGATAACCCTGACATCAAAATACCTTTGAAACTGTTTTTCAGAGAGGGGAAACATTTTGTGGACGTGTGCAAGTCCACACAACGCCATCGCACTCTACATTATGTGGACTTGTTTTGTGCAGAGGTCCATACTATGTATGCCATGCCTGCAGACAAGCTACATGTATCTTTTAAGCTTGACATGCAGGGTTTGAGCCTCAATCAATACAACTTTTTTTTCATGTTTCTGTAATCCTTTGTTTTGTGTATTTTCTTTATAGATCAGATTGCAAGTTTACATTCTACACATGTTCTTTTAATTTTTGTTAGATTCATACCTCTGGAGGATTTTTAAAAAAATAAACTACAAGATCCCATTCATTGTGGTTTGGTTCCATTACCAGTGCACCAGATTGACATAACAAAAGTAGACAGCAACCTGTCTAAACTTCTGTAACTATAGCCACTGCATTTTTCTTTTCTTTTTTGAAAAATTTTATTGTGCCTGTGACTTTCGTTTAGATCGAGAAATAAGACTAAGGCCATTTAAAAAAAATGTAAATTGGTGATCATACCCACTCGACCCTCCAAAATGCCTCCAACCCAATTTTTTAAAATTTTCCCAAAAAAGAGGGGGATGTAAAAAAGGACGAAATGAGAAATGATCCCAAGCTTACCCTTTGGCCTAAGAATTTGTGCAAGACTAGTTCATTCTCGATCGGAGGCTGTTCCCTCTATTGGACATGTGCACTAGGAAAGGGCAAAGTGCCATTCAATTTATTGCAAGGGTGGTAAATGGAAGAGCTTCACTGAGTAATCAGACGCTGCCACATCTGAATTATTTGCTGCGGCTGCAACTGTATGCACAAACATAATAAAACCTTGTTAGGAAGAGAACTGTTTATTCCAGATTCTGCTAACATAATAAGAACTTTTTAGGTCCATTTCTTTGTTTTTCACTGTTTTGTATTGCTAATGTAAAAACAAGGTTCCTGTTATAACAAGGTAATAAACCAAGTCCCAAGGACCTGTTAAACCAGGGTTCACTGTACTAACATTCTGCATAAATTGACCGTCATTTAAACACATGTGGACATTTCTTACTCCCACCCCCCCTCCCAAAAACATCTTCCCCTACCCTCCCTTTATGGGCAGAAAGGATGATCACCAATTGTTTTTTTACATGGCTTAGTGATAGGATTTTCACAATATACATGTACATTACATGTATGAGCAGACACTCTCTCGAGATGGTGAAATGCCATTACCGATGAACATTTTTCATTCATGTTACTCTGCTGTTGTGGTTGTGTGTAAACTATACACAGGCCTATCCCTGTTCTGTAATTTTCTGAGTTACAATTAAAGAGTAAGACCCAACAAATTCCTAATTTCCGCCTGATCCTTCCCCCACACTTTGCCTACCAGAACCAGCAGAATTCACCCACTGAACCACCTCCATACAACCAGACAGGATGCATTTTTATAAGGTGCGAGTGTAGTAACAAACTTGAAACTGTGCTGCTTTGGGAAAGAACTCCATATACATGTAGAGACACCACTAGTTTTTCCCTGCAGTGACCTAATACCTATTTTTTTTAGGGGGGGGGAGTGCCCCCTGCCCCCCTCTTTCCCACTCGTGACCAAATGTTAAAAGGCTTTTGTACTGTCCTACATATACTCAGGCTCAGTTTCCCATTCAGCCATCTGTCCACTTGTTCGCAGGACAGGCAACATTTATTCGTATCAGTCAGTTTTTGCTTGTTCAAAAGTTAAACCGCCCCAGCGCGTATGTATCTTTGTAATTCCATCCAGCGCATTTGGTACAATGGAAACATGGGCTAAGATAGTACTGAGGCTAACAGTTTCTAAACATTTGCTGGTGCAGACAGACCTGTAGTTTTTAATATTGTATTAGAAAGGACAGGCAGATACATACCTCAATCCTAAACAAAGCTCTGCATTGACTAGTTCTGTGGCTGCCTGTTTAGATGTTTGGCAACATGTACATGTAGATGTGCACTTTATAGAATGGAAAAAAAAATTGAAAAGACATCTGAACGTTACTAATTGTACATTTTTTTAGAAGTTAATTATATATAACGGGTTT